AGCAATTAAAAATTATTATTTCATTGAATAACTTCTAATAAACATTTAACTTCCAACTGAATAAATGTATTGTCTAATAATTTATAATCTTTTTAGTTTAATGGACAAAACTGTCTGAAATAGGTCTCTGTGGTCTTCAAATATGAAAAACAAATATATTGTTGTAATTATTTACATTCTTAGTAATGTGATCCATTTTTATCTCGTCATGAAATTTGCTTGAGCTTTGGGTATAATATTCTTGCTCTTTGAAATATTTTGCTATCGTATTAAGACTTAAAAAGCTTTCGTGTTTCCTATAAGTCATGAAAACAAACGGTATACATATTATTTTGCAATTATGCACACCATTTTTGGTGAGACTGTAAAAATTACTGGGAGTCAGTATAAGTTCTCGGAATAAGGAATAAGAATCATTCAAAGGCACATATTTTCGATGAAATTTATATTTGAATGATCGCCTTCAGGCTACATCGAGTTGATATCTCTGATCAATGAGTTACGATTAAAGCATACGCAAGGAAAAAGTCTCTTTCTTCCTCAATCAGCTCCATTGTGTTTGGAAAGGCTTCTGCATCTCAAGAAATCGTACCAATTATATTACTTATGAGTTAAAAACTCTGTTAAACTTTCAGATGTGCTATAGCCAATTTTGAAATTAGCATGCTCATTAATTTAGCGCATCATTATTACTGTACATTGGTTTGGTGCCCACTAATTTTTGTTCCTGCCATTCCACTTAATCAAGAGTACAAATGCTTACTGGATCACAGCCTCTGTTTTCTGCTTAATGGTTAAATGTTTCCTAAATCCACGTCCAGCATGATAAGAATCTTCTAATCTCATCATTTTTTTTCTGAGCTAAATTTTAATAGCTTTCCAAACATATTTTGCATTCAAACAAGAAAGCTGTCATTCAGAATATTTCAAAATCTTTCAAGATTTAACGGTAACATTTTACAAATTCTACTTAAAAGAGGGCTAACTAGTGTCTACTCGATAGAAATTGAAAAAAATTGCTTTTTCTCTGATTTCCTCGGTTATTCCTTGAAATAATCATTTTGATAGATTAACGGTTGTGACACAAAATCTCGCATATTATAGTGCACTTCGATTATTTTCAACCGAAGGATACGAAAGTAAGTCACATACTCCATTTGAAGTGAATCATTATGATAAAAGTCATTGAATTAGCGCAATGCAAAATTTGGTCACCATTCAGTTCGGAAACTCATCCGCAGCTATTTAGTTTGAGCTCTCTAGAATATTTGTAGAAATAATTGGTATATGCATATTATATGATCATATTTTTAAAATGCCTCATTCTAAGAAACTACTTTTTTAAACTTTTATAGCTCACGGATGAAAGGTAAGTTTTAAATGGAGGTCATTATAATTGATCCATTGGAAAATAAATTGTACTATTAGTCATTTTGTCTGACTTTCAAGTGCTACAAATCTAAAAATATAAAATACAATTCCCTTTTATTTTCAAACGTTCTTTTAATGATAAGAAAACTAAGCTTCCTAACCTTTTAATGAAAGTTATAAGAGCAGTTAAGAGCAGTATTTTTATATTATTCTGATAATAATGATTTTTGATAAATGTTCTCAGTTATAATTTGCAAAATGTAGGGGGAGATCAATATAGTTAAAATAGGTTGACAAAAGCATACCACAGAAATAAAATAAGGTCTCAGCTACCTTTAGAGGAAATCTCCGAAGGGTACTAGAAATCACAGTATATTCCGAAATAAAACGAAACATTTTATTTTACACATAACAAGCTGATTTTAAATAAATCATTGTTTTCTATAGTACAATAATTAAGCTTCGCAAAATATTAATATACCTATTATTATATATACATATATCTTTATAATAAAACCATCAATATTTCATAATTAAGTATACTTTCCAAAAATGTTCAGTCTCGAATATAAATGAACAAGGGAGGATAGACCTTTCTCTCTCTCTCTCTCTCTCTCCTTTTTTTTTTTTTTTTTTTTTTTTTTTTTTTTTGCTAGGCTGGAGAGACTAGTATGTGTTTTTCCTGCTACACTTGAGACTATGAAACTCTCTTCGTGTATCGTACATTCATTGAATTAAAAGTTCTAAAGTTAAAAGGAAATATTTAAGTTTAAATCGTTTATAATAGCATTAGTTGTTTTCATGATTGCTGGAAGACGATTCTCTATCGCAGTTTTTGTCGTAGTTCGTAGTAGTCGTAAAGTAAGTTTTGTCGTTGTTTAGTTTTTATCGTAGTTCAGGTTACTTCTTTATATTTCAACATTTCGAGGAAAGCTTTCAATCAGGGGCTGCTTACAACCTCGGCTCACGAAGCCCAGATGTATGGCTCCATATTCTAAGGGGTCCAGAAATAGTCCTATAATTTCTCTTAGTCACTTTTTCCCTTCCTGAAAACAAGTAATGAGTGCGTTAGAGATTTCTAAAGAATTACTGTGCTTAGGATACTAGACATTTTAATCGATCTTTGATTTCACATATTCCTCATTTTGCCTCATTCATGCTTAATATGTTTTCTACTGTAAAGTAAGCGCTACTAAGTAATAAGTTTTTCATAAACTTTTCTCTAAATCTTATTCACAACTGTTTTGTATGAAACAGTTCTCACAATCTGAAAGATTTCTAATATTTCCATTTAACACTACAAACGTACTTCAGTTCTTGAAGCTCATCTGCTTGCGTGGAACATCCAGTTCAAATACAATTTCGATGAAATCTATTTTAATATGAAATTTTTGGATAAAGATCTAGTCAGTTAAAAAAAGCTTCATAAATAATGTTGAGATCTGTAAAGTCAGTCAAATCTCAGTCTTTGCTGGTGTTGGTATCAAGTAAAAGGCTCAGTCTTCAAATATGTTCATTAATGTACATCAAATACTTTTTAAAGTGCTGTTTGTTTTCTGAAATTCTGCCTCTCTTACATTTCCATAAGGTATGGTGATAAAGTACATAATATTAATAATATTTTTAATTAAAATTATTAAAAGAAGCAAACGATTATTTAAATAAAATGTTATTATTTATCATGGAGAGATTTAACTTTAGGCTCATAATCTATCCATACGTAATGTTCCCTATCACAATTTATGTGAAATATTTGGAAGCCCAAACAAATGTCTGTCATTGTGAATACAAAAACACTTGCATTTCGGAAACGGACACTGCTGGCGATTAAAATTTCTAGACTAGGAAGGATTGCTAATAGCAGAATCTTATTTATTGTACATGTACAGTATAACGAGAAGACGTGATTAAATTTGTAAGTGGTTTGGGATACACAACATGCAGAATTCAGAGCACCACTCGCCAGCCACCTTTGACGGTAGCAACGGTTGTAATCCGGCTGGGCATAAGTTTAACTGAGCTTGGATGAATAAAAGCGTACTCCATTCCATGTAACTTGAACTCTGGCAGAATTCATCAGTATTGCGGCTGGCGAGTGGCGGCATGCAAGTCTCTTGGCTACCCATGACTAGATGTTCTCAGTTAAAGAGAGATCTGAAGAACATGCTAACCATGGCAACAAGACGAATACCCTCTGTATGAAGAAAGTTAGGGCAGCATGCGGTAGTTCATGGCTTTACACAGGCCTCGAACATAGGATACAATCGTGAGTAATGTCTTAATACGTCAGAAATATAATGGTGGTTATCCACATTACCAACTATGCGAACAAGAGGTGACCGGGATATGTACCCAATGGCCCTCCATACCAGCATGTCAGGTACTAGGCGAGTATGACCATCGCGAATGCAAGCTGGCAGCGTTCTTTCTCCTCCGTGCCACGAATGCGCTTATCATGATGCTGCGCATAGAACAGCAGTTTGTCTGAAAAGTCAACGTGACGCCACTTCTGTGTCCAGTGTTGTCGTTCATCGCACCGCTGAAAGCACGCCTGTCTCTGCAGCAGCGTCAAAGGCAGCCGCAACAATGGTCGTCGTGCTGACAATCCGTGGTGTTGCAGACATCATTGCACTCTCCGTACGAACGCTTGTTGTCCTGTATACGAGCCAATTCCGGAATCAGACGTGAAATGACGTGGCCGTATGATCCCTCAAACCAGAGAGGATAATATAACTGTTCTCCAAGTGTTAGTGGACCGGAGCCGTTGAGATCCTGCATGGCGTGCAGTGTGGTCTTCCTGAACCCATCAATTCCCTGTTCGCCTGCCATGAGATCCCTACTAACACCAGCAAGAATGCCGTAGAACGATAAACTGCAATCCATACAAGTCGCGATACTGCCACGGTCAAATTCCCACCCTTACCGGTAGGGGTTTCTTCTTCTTACACGAGGCATTAACACGACGTTTGCACAAATAACAAACTTTCAACTAATGCTGTTTTCAATGAGAAAATTCCTATGCAATCTTTCCATGTAATGCACAAAATATCTGCTTTGTACGCATGTGCTGGAATGTTAATCATTTGCGTATCCGAGCATGTAGTATCTGTTATGTAAATTACACGTTTGTTGCATGCTGCCTTCGTGGTGTAGTAATTTTAATGCCAGCAGTGTATAATGAGCCTTATCATTACTAATTATGCCATTTAATGTTAGATCTAAGATGCATTTTTTGAAGATATGGGAAATTATCACATTTAACAATACGTTAATGTAAAATTTTAAATGTAGCTGAAGTATTTGTTAACGATAAAGAGGTCTTCTAAAAACTTATTGACTAATTTGCTAAATGAATTCAAAGAATATCTAAATGTTCTGCTTATGTGAATATTGTCGAATACTTTTGTTTTATGGTTAAAAACTATTAAGTATTTGTTACTTTTGGCCTATAGCATTCATACTATTCAGCTCTTTTGCTCACAAAATGTTTGCATCCTTATAAAAATATCCTAATAAAGATTAATCAAAAGTAAAAATTAATCAGTATTGTTTAAATTTAGATGAATTATAATTCTTTTCTCACATATTTTATTCAACTATCATAGGAAAATTCGATTTGTTTATTGTAGCAATTGGAAAATGTTGACAACAAAGAGAAGTTAATACAAGATTTCACGGAAAAACTGAAGCGCAGGATAAATCCAAGAAACCTCAGACGTTACGTTGAAGCTTACATGAAGTAAGATCATGTTTTTATGTAAAATATTTAGATAATAATGTAAAATTTAACAACTTATTCTGCTGTTTCAGTCAAACTCCTCAAATAAGAAATTTTAAAAAATTTCTTTTATCTCACTTTCTTTGTACAATTTTAATTGAGTTCTTGTCATTGCTGAATTGTAACAGCTTTCCTGCAGTAGTTTTATTACGTAAGACCAGCATTTAGTGGTGAGAGAAGAAGTAATGAAATTGAGAGGACTGATAAATTGACGAGGAGAAGAGATCACATTTGAGGGCCAAAGTTTCTCTTCGAAGAGGAAAAGATACGTAGGGGGCATTCAGGTTATTGAAAGAAAGCAATCTGTCTTTTTATACTCGGAGATAAAATTGATGTGTTACTTCTCATTTTTTTTATTTGAAAACATGCAAACGCCCGTGCACCATAAATGTACAACACAGGGCTTACAGAAGTAAGTTAACGAAAACATTAAAAGTTGCATGCATAAATAAAACGAACAAAAGTAGAGAACGTCAGTCTGGTCTTCACGAAAACAGATAAGTTCACTGTCCAAATCACTCCGAACATTTTCAGATCGTTCAGCAAGCATAATCTAGGGCCATAAAATGTAGGAGTATGAGAAAATCAAATGTTCTACATCCTGAGGTACTCTTTTTGAACACTCGCATAAAGTGCTTGATCTTAGATTAAAACGAAACAGGTAACTTGCAAATTTACCGTGCAGATAAAAACTGAACAACTTTAATATTAATAGAGAGAAAAGACTCGGAATGCAGTCTATGGTAAACAGAAGGTAAGAACGTTTTGGTGACCTCAGCATTACAAGATGAAATATATTTCTCATTCCACTTAGCTAAAAGCTTCTTATAATGAAAGGACCACCAATAACTCTTTGGAATGCTAATGTTGATATCAATGGGTAAATAGTATAAGGCATCTTTAGCTAAGAAATCAGCTCTTTCATGTCCATAGAAACCGTAATAAGCACGCACATATGTAAAGCGGATATCAATTCCTCTATTTCTAAGCGAACTGACACTTGATAGAGTTTAGATAACTAATTTGTTGCAGCTGGTAATACTGTTCAAGAGGTGAAGAGAAAAAGAGAATCATATCAAACAAGGTACCTTGAGGATGTTGTCCCCTTATCCTTGATCCATTTGACGGCAAGATAAATACACAGAAGTTCTTGAAAAACTGTACATTCATTCAGTATACGGTGTCTAAAATAACAAACCCCAGAATAGCCTTCAAAATGAAAAAATGCATGGCCAACCTTGTTGTTCATCTTGCTGTCATCTGTAAAGAAAACCATATGAAAACTCATTTCAGTAGTCTCTTTATAATCGCAGAAATTTATAGCCGCTAAAGTAGCTGGATGAGAAAGATCAGGGAAGGGGACAATTCCATTTATGCATTCTTCCAAAGTATCAGTTGCCAGTGACTCAAAAATATTATTTTTATATTCAATTTCGAAATCAATAGGCAGAACTCCTGCAAGAACAAAAGTAGCCTTTTAGCTTAAGGTTGTATAACCACTAGTAATACGGCGAAGAATTCTCCGTTAAATCTCTCTCAAATTTCTTTTGTTAACCTTCTTTTCAAGAACATGTTTCCAAGCACGACAGCCGTACGAAATGAATGGTGCAATACACTGCTTATACATCAGTTTCTTAACATCGTAGCTTACTCCAAAAGTATTTTTGGCGATTCGGTGAAGGCCAGCATTTTGCAGAAAGGAATTCAATGCGCTTTTTCCATGTTAATTTTTGGCCAAGAATGAAACCAAGGTACTTGACATTTCATATAAATTCCAACGGAGAATCATGAGAATCATCGAGTATCAAAGGAACAATATTTTGTTCATCAAACTTTCTGGAAACAATCCTACCTTTACTTTTCGAGGGAAAAAAAGTGAGTTTATGAGAAATCGCCCAATTGGAGACAAAATATAGCACTTCTTGTACTCTCAAAAGAATGATATTCAAAGTCTTTTCTTTACTTCTCAATAGACTGAAAAATGCATTTCCCGAATTTATTTAATAGAATAACTTCATGTATTTTCAATACGTACGTTTAATGTACTAAGGTGAAATTTAAGGATTTATTTAAATAACCATGTTTTTCCCCAATATTCTGTTCTATCTTCTCTATGTTTCCGTCCATCATGTTGAAGACCGACATGGGGCTAGTTGCTTTAATACATTCTTTTAGAGTCAGGATTAATCTGATTAGAACTGGCTGGTTTAAGAACTAAGGATTAATATATATTTGCATTTGTGTGTTGCTTAGTTTAGTTTTATTCTGTGCAGAGCAGCCACGCGCAAGGGCGTACGAAGAAAATTATGACCATGACAGTTTTAATGTGAACATAACGCCGAATTTTAATGCTATTGTATCTACAGCTTGCTTGATAGAAGTAATAGCAAATGCGAACATATATTCAAGATATTCATCCTAAATCTTTTTCCTTAATTTACTTTTTGCATGGCCCATATGAAAAAAGATTGCTTTCTTACTCGTACGTGCTTTCAAAAAGGGACATCATTAACAGGCAACGGATGATTACTGGATAGATCTACTATCTAAGTCTAGACTGCAAGTTTAAGTGTTTCCAGAATAACTTCCTCATAATATCGTCTCCAGTTTAATTATGAATTTTTCCATTCTTTCATATATGATTTACTAGTTGTTTCCGGTCTTAAAGAAACATGTTCAGTTCATTTGAGTGGACAGTCATATCCATTAAAAGTTATTTAACCAGTTGGTAAATCCAAATCATACGTCGCTTGAACTCAGCTCTTCTGTTTACATTTTGGATATTCCGCGCGGGTTTATGGAATATCTTCGAGATTTAAGTGAAATTAGCTGGTTGCGTGTTATACACGCCTACCTTACAATACCCAAAGTGTTTCGAAAAAGATGGGATAGACTTTAAGAAATGATGGAGCACATGAAAGCAATCTTTTTCTATCATTGAATGGATATCTAAAATGAAACGGAATGGCGCTACATGATGCTCGCTTGTTAGTGAAGCCAAGAAGGTGTAAAAGTAAGAATGACACAGAAGATGTAAAGACAATTTTAATCCCCAATAATTACAGTAACTGTTCGAAAGAGCAGCCGCTAAAACACAGCGGCGATGGAGGAATTTGTGAACTTCCTCGAACAGACCTCACACCTCTCACACAGCTGTAGCACCGACCGAAACTTGATCAGCGAGTTTTTCAATAGATTCAAGGGAAGTCTTGTAATCCAGTGGTCCCAAGAATTCCTTGTTTTGCCGAAAGTGGGTTGATGCTTCACTGTACTGGAGCATATATGGAACAATCTACAGCACTTCTGACAAGCGTTTTTGCAAGAAAATGCAAAACTTATCCCCATAAAATCAAAAAGTACATACTGGCTTTCTTGCCACTGATCCATTGCATCAGATGCTGAAGCTGAGGTGCATTAAATTTTGCTAAAGTACCGCTTGGATGTCTAAGCGCATTTATGCTTTGTTTTCGGCCATATTTCCTGTGTCAAAAAAGTGAGTGTTTTGGTGGGCTCTACCTTCCCTTTAGGTTTGACTATCTTTATTGAGACACACTATAAAAATTCGAAGAGCAATAAATATTTTAAAAATTTCATAAAAGCTTTCTTCTCATTTTACTGCTTTGTGTTTGCATGGAAAATGTTATAGCAAAAAATGGGTTAGATGTTTATTTGCACGTATGCTTATCGAAGAATGTTTTAACAAATTCTGGGTGATGGTTTGTGCGTCTGTGTGTTTGGCAAAAAGTACGGTCGAGTTTGGTAGAATCATAATTTCATAAGATTTTATTTGTGTAAATGATAAGAATAAATTCAGCTCGTTCCATCTTCAGCAATGAATAAGTGAACATGAAGTTTTGAATTTCTGCCATTATGTTACTTTTTAAACAAATTACAATTCAAATGCTGCTTGTCTCTTAATTTGATCTATTATCACAAAAACATCCACAGTAGTTAAATGAAACTAACAAAAGTGGTAAGCAATAGTTTTTAAATCTCAGTTTAAGTTTTTTTCCCCTAATATTGATGTATATAAAAGTTTTCCTTCAATTTTTCAGCCGGAAAGATATTATGGGACTTGTCGAAGCTAACCTGAAGTAAGCTTCATTTTATTTATTCTTTTTATGTCATAAAAATATGTACTTATTTCTCTTTCCCTTTATATTACATAAATTTTTAAATTAGTATTTTTTATTAACATGATTGGAAAACTTGCAAATTTTACAAATTAAAAGAAAGGAAACTTTTTTCTTTCATTTTATCTTTACGCATTGGAAAGCAAATCGATATTTACTAGTCGAGAAATAAAATATTCTTAATACATTTTTATTCATAAAGATTTTCTCTTTGAAAATAATTTATATTAATAAATGTAAAATAGGTCGATGTTTCAGAAATAATAAATAACATTCCAATTTAAAGTATCTACTTTTACTTAGCCATTGTAAATTATGTTGGATTATCCTTTAAATAAGGATAATTCAAGGAACTCTGAATTTTTTTAACCCAAAGAAGCTTATTCAATATAAATTCCTATATTCGATATGTTTTGCGAAGCAAATTGATAAAAATAATACTTCAAGTACATTACTTTCAGAAAGATAACTTTTTTCTTATTTTGCTTGTACCCTTATATTTTCTGTAAAGAGCACAGTTCGCCTATAAAAGTGGGCTGCTTGTTGGACCATTCCCCCCCCCCATTTAACGTTTCTATACTTTTACAAAACATTCTTATATCTGTGAATTCACATTGTAATTTTCTTGTTGAGTAGCTATTTTTAAATCTTATCATCTTTTTCAAAATTTCTTAGAGGAATGGACGTGCTGTTGGTATCTGGTGGTAAGGCTGCTCATACACAAGCGGTCCTCAGTATGTACATGAAAATGGATAAACAGAAGACTTCTTTTCTGAAGGTGGATAGCGCTGGAGATGTTTTGATGGAAGCTGTAAGTAATGCGAAAGGTTGTTCTAATTCTAAATGAAGTGAAATACTTCAACAATCTACAAAAATAATCATTTTATTTACAAAGCAACTTGGATTGCATCGAAGGTTCACTGCTAACTAACGACGTCGCAAACTAAAAACTAACATTCTTTTTCAGAAGCGAAGCGCCCTCTAACGGCGATATATAAAATCATTTGGGGGATTTTCCACACTCCCCACCTGATAATTTTTGCAAAAATTATCACTATTTCAGCATACAAATAATAAAAATATAAGAAAGCAACTTACATATCAAGTACATTCAACTGATGTAAATATAAACTGCAAAAGGAAATTCTATAAAATAAACAAATATAGTTAACTGCATCAATTCAAATGTTACTCAATACGTAAATATTAATTCGAATTACAAACAGTAAATTATTAGTAATAACTAAACTAATTATCTAAAATTAATGTTAGTGAACATGAAATATAAGAAATAAAATTAAAAGGTTACAAAATTAGTTCATTTTCAGTCTGATAGTTCAAGGGGGTATATCAATTGCACAGGTCTCTTAAAGTCCCCTTTTTTAGTTTTTACCACACATGATCGTACAAGACCATCACGTCCTTTAAAGACTTGAATTACTCGACCTAAATCCCAGAGGAACTTAGATTTAGTTGTTCCTTCAAGTAAAACTATATCACCAATTTTAAGATTTTTCTTGGCTTCTGGTGTACCGAAGAAGTGAGCATTTTAACTCAAGAAGATACTTATTTTTCCATTTTTTCCAGAACTGTTTTATAAGTGTTGTCTGATATTCTTTTCGTTTTATTAGACTCTTTCTTGTTGGAGAGTTATTCAGGATCTCAGCAAAGTTGTATGGATATTCATCCTTATGTCCAATCAATAGAAAATCAGCTGGTGCAAGCGGTTCAGGTTCATGTAAATCGTTGTAAACGTAGGTCAAAGGACGTCTATTCACAATATTTTCGACCTCTGTCAACACAGTCATAAATTCTTCAAAATTCAGTTGAGCTCTGCCTAATATCTTTTTCAACGGTTCCTTTATGGTTTTCATAAGGCGTTCATAAAAAGCTTCCCACCATGGAGCAAGCTCGACGATAAATTTCCAAGCTAAGCCTTCATTTGCTAGAAAATTTTGAAAGTCTGTACCTTTAATTATGCTGTAAAAATACTGTAAATCTTTGGCAGCATATTTGAAAGTTTTCGCGTTATCTGAATAAAAAGTGCGACAGTTTCCTCTTCTCGAAATGAAACGTCTGAGAGCCAAAATGAATTTGTTTGCAGACATATTGGAAATGAGTTCTAGATGTAACGCTCGTGTAACAGCGCGCGTAAACAATACGATGCATAATCCCTGAACGTCGCCTCCAGACCCGATGCAAACCGGACCCGTGAAATCCACGCCTGTAACACAGAAAGGCGGAGCCTCAACAACTCGATCCCCAGGCAACTGAGCCGTCACCCGTTTCGCTGGTTTTACTGCAGCTATTTCCGACATATTCAAACAGTTCCCCTAAGACTTCTCTTCACCAACTGGACGGTCTTTAGGAATCCAAAATTTCTGTCTTAGTTTGGCTTTAAAGTTTGCTGCAACTCCTGCATGTGCAGAACGTTATTATGTTCCCTTTTTACAATTAATTTCAGTAAATTTAGAATCTTTAGGAAGAAGAACTGGAAATATTTTCTCGTCAACTGTATATTCGGTTTCTTCTTAATCTTCCCTTAATTCGAAGAGTTTTATTTTCATCAAGAAACGGTGCCAAGCTGAATATCAGAGCTTGGAGAAATTGACTTGTTAGATTGAAGAGCCTTAATTTCAGGTGTGAAGAAATCCATCTGGGATTTACGAACACAAAAAATTTCAGTGTCCTGAATTTCAAAAGCACTTAATGTTCCCACTATTAGCAGGCAGTTTTCTTGCCTTAGCAACGAAACGTCTAACCCATGCCATAATTCTGAGATATTTCAGCACATAACTGAATTTTGTTATATCCAATAGTTGATCATCTCTTTTCACAACAACGTCATAAACAGATATCTTACTACAGAAGTTCTAGTTGCTTATCGTTTCCCACGTCAAACTTCGGTTGAACTGGCCAGTCTATACGTTTGTTTTGCAACCATTCTGGTCCAAACCACCAAAGTGAACAATTTCTTAAATTAGCAACAGTAGTTCCTCGTGATATGAGGTCGGAGGGGTTATCTTTCCCACGGCAATAATGCCAATTATTGCTTTCAGTTAGTTTCTGAATTTCATAAACTCTGTTTTTTATGAAAGGATTTAAATCTTTCGGGAGACCCATCTGAATCCAAAAATAAGTTATTTGAGAATCCAGTCCAGTGGAAGGGGATTACTTCGTATTTTAAAGATTTTGCTATTTTATCACTCAATCTGGCGGATAAAATCGCACCCAAAAGCTCCAATCTAGGAAGTGTAAGGGATTTCAGAGGTGCAACTCTCTTCTTGGAAGCAACAAAAACTGTTTGAAAAGTTTCATTGTTCAAAACCTATTCTTCAGATATACTACACGCATCCATAAGCTTTCAAACTAGCATCAAAAAAGCCATACGGAGTTCTATTTGTTTTCACATCTGCATTCTAATATTCCCTCTAAATAGTAAGCGGGGAATTCCTGAGGTGGTTCAGTTCTTTCAATTTCTTCGTACCAGGCTTTCTATTTATAACTGAGATCAGGTGGCAGTTCATTCGTCCCAATCAATTTTGGCGGACCAAATTTTCGTGAATCAGACACTTTATTCTTATAATGAAAAGGGCCATAAAATCCGACAGGATCACGGATCAAAAATACGGCCTGCGGTTTGCAATAGAAAACGTTTTGAGTTGATTGACGAGGAAATGAAGCGCCCTCTAACGGCGATATATAAATCATTTGGGGGATTTTTCTACAGTAAGTAAACAATCAAAGTAAAAAAAAAAATTACTTTTCCTAAAAAGGCATATTTAATTAAATATTTTTACTAGATTAAACGTAGGAAAATTGTCATACCTTTTCAGTGAGTGAGCTAGAACTGCTGTACCTTCTTTTTCATTCGAATACAGTTATGTGAAAGAGGTAATAAAGAGCAATTTAATAAGAAGAATACGATTTTAAAATGAAATAAAACTATTTCAAGTACAAACGAAATTTCCATATTACTTTGAAGTACAATTTATAACATTGTGTCTTGAGTAAAATATCATTTAAGGGTCAACTTCAACTCGGTGCACATGAGAGAAATATGATCCGTTTCAAGTTATTTCAAAGCCCAAGCAGCAGACTCATTGCTCTTACGATGATTGAATGGCTTCAGTTCTTGGATTAAAACAATCTTATATGGGTGTAGATCAGTTCGTGTAGCAAAATACGTCAAGCTGCCATTCTTCTCCTATTTCTTGAGCACAACGAACAATTGATAAATTTGGAATTTCTGCTGTACTACATTTCAAAGCGTCAGTATTATCTGCCTTTCTTGCATTTCGATGTCTTGTAGGTGTTTTAGCAGTCAATCCCAGTTTTTCGACGAATAATAAGCACAGAAGGACGATTATGTGAACCATAGTTTAAGCGAAACACACGTTCAGTTTGCACAAAAGGATGCTCATTTTTATAAAAAATTTCGAGGTACTTACGCATTATCCCATCGACCGTGAAACTTCGCTACCGTCTAACCTGGAAATTGAGCGGAGATCTCGCCAAAGTTGCGCCAAACGTTCCTGTGGAATTCGGAAGAAACTGGCGCCTCTTTGTTTAATAAATACACTTACTACCAATAAGTATTTGGACATCTATGCAAATGACAATATCTGCGGTCCTAAGGTACGTCACGGTATCCGCCGTTATATATCGTGAAGGAAACAGCATCGGCTTTAGCCGCATGCAAGATGCCTCGCAGTTCGAAGCTCTCTGATTTCGAGAAAGGGTGTAATTATCGGATATCACAAATGTGGCCGATTCTTAAGGGACATATCTAGCGATCTGAAGTACCCAAAATCGACAGTGGCCTATGTGATTAAGAAGTGGAAGGTGAGCGGTGATTGTCGGAATGTGCCCCGAGTCGGCAGACCAACGAAACTGGGAGCTAGAGACCGACGAGTGCTGTCCAGAGAAATTCGGAAGAACCGCACCCAACCGATGGCCCTCATCCGCGAGGAGTTTCAACAGGCATCCGGGAGTATTTTTTCAATGAATACCATCCGTAAGGAAGCACATTTGCTTGGTTTTCATGGTCGTGCTGCTGCCCATAAGCCTTTGATCACAAAGTCCAAACTCGCTGCTCGGTTAATGTGGTGCAAAGCACATCGAAATCGGACCGTAGATCAGTGGAAACGGGTTCTTTGGAGTGACAAATCCAGGTTCACCCTTTACCGTTCGGATGGCAGGGTCTGGGTCTGCATCTACCTGGAGAACGTCTCCTGCCAGAATGCATTGTGCCAACAGTCAGGTTTGGCGGAGGTGAAGTTATGGTCTGGGGGTGTTTCTCCTGGTATGGGCTGGAACCCTTGGACCCCATTCATGGTAAGCTCAACTCCGATGCCTACTGCACTATTTTGGATGACAATGTGCTTCCTGCGTTGCGGCAGTTTTACGGGTTGGACCCCTGTTACTTTCAGGTCGACAATGCCAGTTGTCATATTTGGACGTTAACCAAGGCTTGGTATTGTGCCAATGGAGTTCATTGAATGGACTGGCCTGCCCAGAGTCCAGACCTGAACCCTATCGAGAACCTCTGGGACGAGTTGCATCGCCGAATTCAGGGGTGCACTACCCGTGCAAAATCGGTGAAGGAACTTCTATGTCTTCTCCAAGCCGAGTGGAAGAAAATACCACTAGCTGTCATACAAAGACTTGTGGAAAGTATGCCCCGGAGGGTACACGCTGTAATTACCTCTCGTGAAGGCTCTACCAACTATTGATTTTGAATAAAGTTAGTTTTTCTTTTCTATCACAGATGTCCAAATACTTATTGGTAGTCAGTGTAATTAGTATCTG